CAATCACAATCACAATCACAATCATCACAATCAATACAAAACTCATTAAATAAAAAAGATTTAATAATAAATCAATCTCAAGAAAACACGCCAAAAGCTTTTGCACCGCCAAAAAATGATAAAAAACCAATCGAATTCTCTAAAATTACACAAACAAAAAAAGCTGTTATACCGATTGTTGAAAATAATAATAATAAAGATGATAAAAATCTTGGTGAAATAATTGATGAAAAAGTTACATCAGTAGAAGCTCAAGTTCAAGAAATTAGTGGGGAACTTTTTGTTATCAATTTGACAGAAGAGGAGGAAAGTGAAGAAGGTATTGTGGTTGAATGGCTGTTAGGAACCTGCCTTACTTATAAAAGTGTTAGAAATCTCGTAATTCAAAATGAAAAAAAGGAGGATAATGATGTTTTATTTGTTGAATCACGGGAAATCGACTACATAGATAACGTTACCGCCGGTAACAACTTTGTACAAGTTGGAGCATAAATTAATTAGTGTATATTATAGATTATAATTTTTTTTTTAAATTTAGAAAAGCATTATGGGTGTAATTAATTATTTGTTTATTACTAAAAATGCTAAAAACATTTTTTACTATTATTATCATATGTCCTGTTTTTTTTGGATCATTGATTTGTTTACTTTTATGCATTTACAATTGAATTGACGACTGAATTGATTATTTGTTTTTTATTATTGTTGTGCGCGAAAATGAAATTTATGTGAATTCATACAACATTTACTAAAAATACTTTGATCACATTCATTTTGCAAAGCTGGATTGCAAGCTTCGTAAATCTTAACTTTAACACTTACTTTGATCAAACCCGCCTATATGATTATTGAATAATTTATTAATATTCATCTTACAAGCTTCATAGATCTTGACAAACACTTACAAAAAAACCAACTATTAAGAGAGAAATCTGAAAAAGAAATCCAAATCAAAAAATTACAAGATGGAGCCAATCTACAAAGAACCTTGGGGGAAGAAACTAAAAGATTGGCCCGAGAATAAGAAAAGGATATTAAGAGAAGCAAAAGAACAAAAATTAATTTTTGTCCTCGCGCAGCAAAAAGCTTTCATTGTGTCCTCAGTTGTAAGCTTGTTGATTTTGACAAATGTAAAGAATAAACAATTTAATTATACACAGTTACAATTTGTTTGTTTCTGATTGATTTATTTAATGAATTTTTTATTCAAATGTTATGATGTATATATTTATTCGCTTTGTGGTTTTTTCTACAATTCTTTTAAGCGATGAGTACATGTTACATGTTCTTCTTCATCTTTTACATAGCCTTTTCACATGATAATGTCAGTTTAGCGGATTTATTGACCAAGATCTGGAATTTATACAATGCTATGTGCGCTATTTATCCAAATTTCAGATTTTCAAAATGACATCTCTGTAATGATTTTACAAGGAACACAAGTGGAAGAAATGAGTGTAGATATTTAAAGAATACCGTAATAATATAGCCAAAAATTTTTGATAATGTCAGTTTAGCGGATTTATTGACCAAGATCTGGAATTTATACAATGCTATGTGCGCTATTTATCCAAATTTCAGATTTTCAAAATGACATCTCTGTAATGATTTTACAAGGAACACAAGTGGAAGAAATGAGTGTAGATATTTAAAGAATACCGTAATAATATAGCCAAAAATTTTTTGACATGAACTCAGGTATAAAATATTGTGGTTTCTTTACTTGCTATTGCTTAATTCCTTTACAACAAGATGAATGTGTTATGTAAAGAACAATTCTTAATCAAGCGAAATTGCAGTGTGAGTACCTTGGTAAAATGTTAATAATTGGCTACCTGGAACAATATACATCGTTGTTCTCATTTGAATTGGTCTTGATATTATTAAATTTGAAAAATTGTTTAGCAACAAAAACACAATTATCAGACAAAGATGACTCTAAAGAATTCATAAAATAAAAATATTTATTCGGCTAAATAAATATATGAGTCCAACATATATTACTAATACCAATGCTAATAGTCGACCAAGAGTTTCTTTGGCTAATTACAATATCAATATCTATTGCATGGTGGCAATAATAATAAAATTCATAATTCAAGAGAAAATTCTGTATGTTTGATATTTGTGTGTGAATAAACCGCCTTAATATTTTCAAAGTTTTTCCCCCATTCACTTGAAGACATATTAAATTCTACATTGATTGGTATTTTCTTGAGAAGTGATTGTTGTCGGTTTTTATATCGGATTCGTTCAAGAGCCTTATTATTAACCGGCCTGCGCATAAATAAATGCAAAAAAAAAAATTTAAACCAATGAATAAATTTATATATAATTTCCTTTCTCCCCATCCACTCACCCACCTCATACTAAAAAACTTACGGATAAGTCCCAATAGCTAAAAGAAAAATATCCGAATATTCTCTCAAATATTTGTCACTTAAACAACCATTAATAATATTTAAAAAATTCCAGTAACTGTCTCGAACTCGTTGTTCCTTTTCCTCACAATATTTAATAATTAATCCATTTCTCAACTTTGACAATTCAGAGCTTAAAATATAAGAAATTTCAAAAAAAATATAATATTCAATTCTAATTGTTGTTGGTTTTGTTGATTCTTTATTATTATTATTATCATTAACATCATCGTAATTATCTTTTTCGTCACCATCATCATTCCTCTTCTCAACATACATCTCTTTTTCCATAACGTGAAAAAGTTGTACCACACAAGTTTCTAGATTGCCGAAACCTTCTTTCAAATCTTCCTTCTTCAGTTTTAAAGTATCATCATCGATTTTTTCTTGATTGGCCGGGAAAATTATAGAGCGATATAATTTTTGGATTAAAGAAAAAATATCCATTAAAATTCTTATTGTTACTTCCTTGGTATTACTGCTACTGCTACTGCTACTGCTACTGCTGCTACTGCTGTTGATTATGTCAGGACCAATATTGGTGTTTAAGGTGTTGTCATCAACATTATTTTCACTATTATTATGAGTATTTCCGTTGTTAATAATATAAAAATTATTTGTGAAAAAAATGTGGTAGAATAACACTCGTTTGTCGAGCGATTCAATTGAATTAGATTTTAACAATTCAGCTTTTCTATCAACCATATTTTTAAACGCAAACTAATTAATTGTACTGATTGAATCTTTAAAAATTGTTATAAGGGAAGACAAAAACAAAACGAGCCTTTTTTGATTGTTTATTTTCATGGTCATTTTAATTTTTTTGATAACAATACATGTTCCCTAGATGACTGCGAGCAATTTTTTATGTATTGTATTGTCAAATAAGAGAATTATGATGTCTTTTAAAAATCGTTAACATGTATTAATATTATTTTTATCGTAATATGTAATGTTCTTTATTGAAATTTGATGAGAGCAGTACAAGCACCTTCTCTAAAAAATTTAAAAATGCTATTACTGAAATATATACTAATGCGTAGAAATTTAACTATTGTTATTTGAATTTTTATATTTCTATGATTTTCGTTAGCATTAAAGTAATGATGATGATATTAACTTCACAAAGTAAAAGTTACTTTTGGAATGAGACATTATAATCGCACAATACAGTGCATTTTGAACCCGTCAAGGGAAAATGAAGTATCCAGTTTTGTTACACAAAAGACCGATTCATTATGTTGAATGAAAGAGTAAAATAAAAGATTTCTTGACAAGGACAGGAACGGCTCGGTTTACAAACCGCCTGTTTGGCGATTTGAACCGAGGTTGTTTTATATTCTAATAATAATAGTTTATTTAATTTTTTATTTAATACAAAAAATACCAAAACGTGTATGTAGCTTATGTTTTGATAAATATTTGAAATCCAACGCTCCGGGATTTTCCATAGCTTAAGTAATAATAATAAAATTAACATAATCACGCAGTTTGAAAGTTTCACGTATGAAAGTATAGGTTTTGCTGAGTTGATTATTTTTTTTTTCGTTCAAAACAATTTAATGATTTTATATCTGGGCAAAATATGTGTTTTCACCAATCACTCAAAAATATACAATTCAATTAAATTTGTATATAACATTTTCAGATTTTAAAACTTTTACTGTATATATTAAAAAAAGTATTTTGGTTCACAGGAGTGTGCATTTTATAGTTGCTTAATAATAATAAAAATAATCGATTTAAAAAAATTATTGAAGTTTGACAAATATTATAAGTATTTTTAAACTGCGATTTGGCAGTCCCTTGAAAATGACGAATTTTTGTCGATTTCATTTTTTCAAATCGTAAATTCGTTTTGTTAATGGAGATGCTGCCACGCGCATGATTCACATGAATTTTTTGAATTTATGAAAGGAAAAATATATTTAAATGTTTCTAAAAATATTTGGTTGCATTTGGAAGGTTAGACAGAATAGATTGAATGGTATTATATTTGCGATTCTGGTTTGGTCACGTGATTTGTTAGGATAGAAAACACCAAAAATGCGTCAAAGGAATTTGATTATCATATGAATTAAAGCTTCTAACTCCTTATTAAAAAAAAAAAAAGTAAAAAGTAAACCGATGGAATTAAAACTAAAGACCTAAGCTTCATTTCCATCGATTTACTTTTTCTTTTTTATTAGAAAATTTTTGAGTTATAAGGCTTCAAAGTTAGGACATTTTACATATGCCTATACAGTCCACACTGTCTATAACGGATCATTGGGACCAGGGAAAATTTTTGACCGTTATAGAGAGAATCCTGTATAGAAAATTGTACTATATTTGAGTCTTGTGGAATAAAAAAATTTTTATTATTACATAAAAAATATTATTCAATATTATTAATATTAAAAAAACAGTAATTTAGATTGTTTTGTCTGATTTTTTTAATTTTATTTGACATTTTTTAACAGTTTAAAGCATATTGACTTGAAATAGGAGGTGTCTCTTTGATGTCTTCTTCATCCTGATTGTCTTCATTAAAATTCGACATAGAAATTATTTCTTCATTCAGCAAATCATCATCATCAACGGAAAGATATTCTAATTCTAGATAAATTACTTTTAGTTCATTACATCATACCTTATATCATAATTGTTTATTTTTTTATTTTGTGATTACGACGGAGTAATAGTAATTTTTATGAATAATATTAATAATAATTTAGATTTAGAGGGATCTGCATCATATTTCAGATCACGTGAATCTGTTATAGGAGTGTTGATTTATATGCAAGTCATATGAAGTGATTTTCAGATACAATCCGTTATACGTAATAAATAATATCCGTTATTATTATAAAATCGGGACCAAACTTTTAATCCGTTATAGACAGTATTAGTATGTAAATTGAATGATCTTCCTTGTGATTTCCTAAAAGGCCGATGATTGGCTTAAAAATTTTTCGTGATACAAAAAATCTTTCCAATAAAAGAAATTTGATTACTTAAATTAGAAAGATCTTTAAATTTTTAAGTTTCGGGACCGTGATATTTATAGATGACATGAACCACACTTTTTTCTTTTTATTGAGAAAAACCACTTTCACGTTTTCCAACATGAACAAATTTGGCATAAAGGCGCAGTATTTTGATATTTTAATAATCATTGTACAACAACAACAAGGAACAGGGAAACAAAGGTTAGCTTCATTTGTTCTTTTCCTTTGTGATGTCGCACCAATTTAATTAATTTTTTTCTTCAATATGGTAAGTTGAAAATGCATGTATGATATATATGATATAAAATGAACTTTAAAAAAAAACTATTTCTATATTTATTATTCTTTATTTAGGAGGAAAACGTCAAAAAAATGAAAAGTTTCGAAACATTAATTTACACTGATCAAACTTTAAAAGTTAGCTTAACACCTGACAGATTAGTAACAATCGAGGTAATTTTTTATTTCAGTTATTATTATTTCATAAATAAAAATCTATTTTTACTAAAAAGGGCTATTCTTTTTTTTTTTCAATCATTATTAGACACATAAACCACTACCAAAACTTGCTCCACGTGAACCTGTAGCTAGAGATTCACTTATATCAAAATCACTTCCTAAACCCCCCGGAATCGAAGAGGAAGTAGAGGATGAAGAAGACATTGAGATTTTAGGAAGGCGTCCGCAAAAAGAAAATTTATATGAATTTCTGAAAAATTCTAGTCCGGAAGATTATAAACATAAAAACAAAGTTTCACAAAAAGGCGACATTTCATCAAGGAGACGTGGTAAACCTTTTGATAAATTAGATACAGTTTCTGAAATATCTAAAAGTCCCGGCTCGCCCCGTCATACTCCTTTAATTCCTTCAGCTAAGTCAACATCATCACTTTGTTCACCTTTTTCACTGGCATCACCTCGTCAACAACCTGCTGCTAATTCATCATTACACCACAGTAAATCCTTAGATTTTCCCAACAATATCAAAAATGTTGGTTCTCCAGTAAAACAAAAAAAACCTGGACAACTTAATTTATACAATGATATTAATGATGAGGATTCCGATGATGAGTTCGGTGTTGATGGAAAAAGAAGAAGACGTCCAACTCAGGATTTAATAGACTTTTTGAAAACAACACCACCAAGTGAAAAAACTACTTTTCCCGACTCTGTTAAAGATTCAAATTATAATACTAATGGCAAAAAAATGGAAACTAAAATTAGAAAAATATTCTCAATACTGAAAATGAGATCATCATCTGACGATTCTAATTATTCATCAAGTGGAAACAGTTTAAATTCTGCAAATTCTACTTTCTCCACTTCATCGACATCTACTGCCACTTTGGTTACTAAACAAAGGGCTAGATTTATTAAAATTGAAATTCCACCTCTTCCGCCTCTTCCTCCTAAAGATAATAACGAACAAACTGGCTTTCTTGGTGTTCAAGGGAAAAATACACATCAATTACCTAAAGCAAAATCAACAAGTAATTTGCCACACGTTCCAAGTAAAACAAATCCAGATGATTCTTCTAATTCTCTAACTAAAGTCACAGCTACACTTGATGGCAAACACAACGAGTTACAAGTTAGCAATCCTTCTGCCAAAACGGTTGTTTCAAACAACAATGACAACAATAATAATATTAATGTCAACACTTCTTCATCAAAAGAAATATCTCGTGGAACCAGTTCATCTTCACCACCATCATTATCACCTAAAAAACTTCCTACTCCACCTAAAACTATTAATATCATTAATAATTCTAACAATCAAAATACAACAACAACAACTACAACAACAAATTCAATTCCTGCCATTACCTCCATTAAAACAGATAAGCCACAAGCACTTACACCAAAAGAAAAGACTTTACCACCAAATATACAAATGAATTCTCAAGAGAAACTAAAGCAACAACAGCAACAAAAATTACCAAAATTATCATCACCGTTACCACCATTGCCACCATTGCCACAGCAGCAGCAACAGCAACAACAGCAACAAAAATTACCAAAGTCATCATCACCGTTACCACCACCATTGCCACAGCAGCATCATCATCATCAACAACAACAACAACAACAGCAACAACAAAAACCAAAACAACAAAAACCACCATATCAATCACATCAATCACAATCATCACAATCATCACAATCACAATCATCACAATCACAATCACAATCACAATCATCACAATCAATACAAAACTCATTAAATAAAAAAGATTTAATAATAAATCAATCTCAAGAAAACACGCCAAAAGCTTTTGCACCGCCAAAAAATGATAAAAAACCAATCGAATTCTCTAAAATTACACAAACAAAAAAAGCTGTTATACCGATTGTTGAAAATAATAATAATAAAGATGATAAAAATCTTGGTGAAATAATTGATGAAAAAGTTACATCAGTAGAAGCTCAAGTTCAAGAAATTAGTGGGGAACTTTTTGTTATCAATTTGACAGAAGAGGAGGAAAGTGAAGAAGGTATTGTGGTTGAATGGCTGTTAGGAACCTGCCTTACTTATAAAAGTGTTAGAAATCTCGTAATTCAAAATGAAAAAAAGGAGGATAATGATGTTTTATTTGTTGAATCACGGGAAATCGACTACATAGATAACGTTACCGCCGGTAACAACTTTGTACAAGTTGGAGCATAAATTAATTAGTGTATATTATAGATTATAATTTTTTTTTTAAAAAAAAAGATTTATTCATTCATTCATTTCATCCATCCATTCATTCATTTCATCCATACATTCATTTTATTCATTCATTTTATTTATTTACTTAATAGTTTAATATTTAATTTATTTAATTTATATACTGTATCAACAAAAGAAATGTTTTACAATTGAAAAATAACATTAATAATAATATCAGTTACATTACTGGTAATTATTTATATCTTCACAATGGTTTAATTTCCATAATATTAAGTTTTCTATACCATTAAATGATTTTCAACTGATGTTTTGTTTATTCAGTTTCATAATTTTTTGCTCTATAAATGGTCATAACTCTTCCATATAAAATCATCTTTATCTCCTAAATTCCGCAAATGCCATTCTTAAAATAAATTAGATAGACATGTGCAGCAAAAGTATTATGAGCAGTTAATCCAATTGTCGCTAATATATATACATATGATATTTTTCTCTACCCAATTCATTAAATTTGACTTATCTTTGTTGGATCAATGATTAACAATAAACATTCACAAAATAATATGCTAAAGATAATAAATATTGTTTGTAAATAAATTTGTATATTGAAAAATAATAATATTTGAAATTTTATAATCATTAAGTATGTCTACTTTTTTAAAGATTACTATTATTTCACAAATTTTCTTCATCTGCCTCAACAAGTTTTCTAAGTAATTGCTTTTGTTTTGCTGTAATGTTTCTACAAAAAAAGGAAGACAGGGCAGGAAGATTTATTAATAGTAATCAATAACATTTAATAATTATAATTATAATTACAACTTCAACAACTTTAGCCTACTTTGGTATTTTCACTTTTAATATTACGAGTTGATCACCTCTGAAATTACCAATTTTCATTCCATATTCTTTCATTACTATTTGTTGATTAGGTTGGGAGCCCTCTGGTATATTTATTTCAATATCACCATATATTGTAGGCACTGTAACATTACCACCCATAATTGCTTGACGTAATGATATATCTTTAGCTATTATAATATTTGCACCCTGTCTTTTAAATGTATCATCTTCAATAATACCTAATTTTACATATAAATCGCCTGGTGGGACACCATCACCATTTCCAACTAATTTAATTTTTGTGCCATTCTCAACACCTATTAATTAATTAATCAAATTACATACATGTATATTTAAATACTCCATAACGTTTGTTTTTTTTTAGTGATAAGATTACCTGATGGAATATTAACAGCCACAAGTTTTTTCTCTTTTAAATGACCTTTACCAGAACAATCTGGACATTTATTTATATCGGATATTTTTGTGCCTTTGCCATTACAATTAGCACATGGTTCTTGATTATGAATTCCCGACGATACAGAAATATAACGTATACCTGATCCTTTACATACTATACATAGTTCAGGTCTTTTACGATTTTTAGTACCAAAACCTCTACATGATTTACAATTCACTGTCCTTGCTGCATTGATCATTTTTTTAACTCCTCTAACCGATTCCAAAAAAGATATATCTAAAGTAACCTAAATTGACAAATATTTAATAATAAATAACTTTAAATTTAAGAACTATAGTTGATGATAAATGAATATTATTTATTTACTTCGACATCAACTCCTTTTGAATAGGGCTGGCCGAATTTAAAACCCGTATTAATTTTTGAACCAGCTAATCTTTCTCCAAATATATTATTAAAGTTTTCTTCGTCATATCCACCGGAAAATCCACCAATATTTTCGACGTTAAATCTAACACCACTACTCGGGGATCTTTTTCCTTTAAACAAGAACCAATAATAATTTTAATAATTGTGTTAATAATATAATAATACAAATTCTTTAAATACCATTATATAATACACCCAATTGATCATATTGTATACGTTTTTGATCGTCACTTAACACCTAAATTATTATTAATTGACTACATATATAAATATATTCTTCCAAAACAATATATGACGTTGTTGTAGATAATGATGATGTTATTGATTATAAATTACATCATAAGCCTCTTGAATCATTACAAACAGTTCTTTTGCCGTTGGATCTTTATTAGTGTCAGGGTGATTCTTTTTTGCAAGCTAAATTAAATAAATGTAAGCCAATGAGTTGGTTTATTGACTAGCTTGTTGGCTGGTTGATTGTTGCTAATAATTGTGTACTTGTATATTTAACATACCATATAATATGCTTTTTTAATATCTGATTTATTAACATTTTTTTGTAATCCGAGAATTCCATAATAATCTTTGTAAACGGTAACTGAGATTTATATATTTTTATATATTGTATAATTGTTAGCGCATATACATTAGATATATAATAATAATTTAAAATAAATTACCTGGAGAATGAAATAATCTCTTTAAAAAATTCCAAAAAAAATTTTACTAATTCAATCAAATTATTAGAAAAAAATGAAAGTTTTGATTGTTTTTTTACCTTATTATTATCACCATTATAATCATGAACATTATAAAATTTAAATAAATGCATTTTATTATTGTTGTTAATTGTACTAATATTTTTTTTTATAGTTGATCTTGTTGTTACTATTTGAATTCTAATATTTGAGTATAGGTAATGTAGTATTGAAGGTTTTCTTACTGACATTATAATTATATTAATATTAATTAATTTTAATTAATTAAAAAAAAAAACGCGTTATATAATTTGGGGCAAAGTAAACATTCCCCTAAAAATTTTATGGACTCTGACTCAAAATTTAGTTTGACGAGATCCATGTTTTGTTGGCACAGTGCAGAATATAAGTCAGTCACTGTGTCATGTCTAATCTATGATGAGGAACTTGAGTATTTTTTCCTGCAAGAAGTTCCTTTATACACCATCTGGTTTGGAGTTTTCTAGAATTTTATCAATTAAAATAAAGTAAATTCAATTATTTTTGGAAAAAGAAATTTAATATAATAATTGCTCTAAAGCCTAGATAATAATGCATTTCAAAATTTCTATATGTGATAATTCAAGATTGTCTGATCCTTTGATATAATTTTTATTACATGATTTTTATTACTTCTTTAGTTAGAATGCAGGTGCCATTTTTTTCGCAACACACTGTGGATGAATTGAAAATTTGACACTTTCAAAATGTGGCTGAGGCGCAGTAAATGGTGGTTTAAGAGGTCCCACAAATTATTACGTATTATAAATATACACCATTATGCAGGTTTCAGTTCTTAATTTTAAATTTTTTTTAAAGCCATTGTTTGGTTCAATAATTAGCATTTATAAGTATGACTAGAGCTGATAACATCACCTTAAATCCTTTAATATCAATGTGATTTCTTCTAGAGGGCAAACCAAGTTCCATGAAAATTAATGTTAAGCCAAGCAACTTTGCAGTGCAACCTCCTGACTTAAATGAACTTAACCAATTCTTAATGAAAAATTTAAGGTTCTTGAGAGGAGGATATTGAATTTTTCTTTGATAAGGATTGAATGCAACCTTGCCATGGTGGAACATTGTTAGCAGACCTTGAAATGACTATACATGAAGTTATAATTAAAACCCCAAAGTCGAAATGTTTTGACTTGAGGCAACTACATAGTAAAAATCATATTTCAACTCTATTTTGACCAGATCTGCAAATGGTCAAAATAGTTTTGACTTCATGTATAAAAACAACCACTTTATGTCTGCTTATTGTTCAATATCCATTTTCCACAGCAAGTAGTAAGTATAAAATGTTTTCATACATTCATTTTTTCTATAATGTCTAGTACTCATTTGCCTTCTCCACAGTCATAGTGACATATAAATCAGGAAACAGCAAAGAGAAATACAAAATGTCACATTCTAGCAGAAACTTTAATAAATTATCAAAATTTGAAAATGCAAAAGCATGTGACCTCTATTTTGAAGCCTTTGAAAAGGTAAAAACAAGTTTCAGTTTAATAACCTTATAAAACATACTGAATAACACAAATGAAGTACGTGTTCTTCCCAACCTTAAAGTCCAAATTAAAGGTATGTTTTTTATCTTGACATGGTATGAAAAATGACATAAAGATCCTGATTCCAGAATTAATTATAGATAAAAAACCTTATAATGAATGGGAATCAAAGATGTATTCAAAAATATTTGGCATCAAAGTTATAATGGATTATTTGATGAAGCATTTAATTTGGATGAACTCCCAAATTACAATTCAATTACTGAGGAAGAGTTGAAACACTTTGTTGAAGTTATCAAAAATACGTTTAAAAATAAGATCAATGTTAATGAAGCAACTGTTGGGAAATATATATCTATTTTCATTAAGATGGCAGTTAATCCAGAGTTGGCAAATATGTGGTCCATTGATGGTCTATTGGTGGTCCATCAGGTAACGCTTTAACCATATTTAGTATTTTATTAATGGCAATGGACCAGTTCAAAAATCCATCAGTTCTCAATGAACCAGTCAATTTGCCAACCCTGAGTTAATCACATTCAAGAGTTTACAAACAATTCAGCAGAGTTATGCATAGAAGCTAATCTTTATGGATCTAAAGGGTACAGGCCCTGTGGACTATTTAGTGAAACATGATGATTTTGTAATGCTGATTAATGAGGCAGAATTGGAAGATTTCACTAAGGGAATAGCTCAAAACATTATGCAATTGCATAGTGCATCAGAGGTAATTTCATCGTTTTTGTATTTAGGGTAGACCTAACCATCAATGAATATTTTCAGAGTTTATTAGGCAAGCATAAGTTAGAAAAAACCAGGGTTGGCAAATGTGTGGTCCATTGATGGTCTATTTGTGGTCCATTAATGTAACACTTTAACCATATTTAGTATTTTATTAATGGCAATGGACCAGTCCAAAATCTATCTGTTCTCAATGGACCAGTCAATTTGCCAACCCTGGAACAAACGGATTTTGAATCATCACAACCACTTCTATTTGGAATTGTAACAACTGGATGGTCTTGGTTTTTCATTCACTGGATCAGTTCTCCAGAAAATCCTGAAGTTGAAATCTCTCGTCAATATAACTGTGATTTTGAAGGTGGGATGCAGAAATAATTTTTCATAAAAAATAATTTCTTATATTGTTCGTATGCTAGAAAAACAAGATGATATGTTGAAAAAAATAATAACTCAAAGAATGCACGTATTTGACGAAGTAGTAAAAGTAGTATAGTTGGCTTGGTCTAAAGACCTCCTAAATTTTGGGCAAATTTTAAAAGTATAGAAGTCATTTTCTGTCCTATCTTTTAAAAAAAATAGCTCTATTAGTTGATAGAATATGTATTTAGTTTTAATCTAATAAAGAGATTTTCTCAAAAAAATTATTTATTGTAGAGTTCTATTCTTTTTTAAAACATCTACTTTACTATGCTCATGAGAAATTTGAGCACTATGATCATTGCTAAATTTAGACTAGTTTTTGGTTATCATTACTAAATTTAGACCAATACTCGACCATCATATCTAAATTTGGCGGCAGTAAGGAATATAATTTTCTAGCCAAAATCACGTGACCATTTTTATAAAAAATTTTATTGCATTTTTGAACAAAATCACGAAATCGCAATTTTTGAAATTTGAGCGCTTGGCGCAGCAATAGGAGGCCTTTAGACCGAGCCAACCATACTAGGAACCCAAGAATTATAGTACAATCAGAAGTATTTTGAAAAAGGAACAAAGAGAGAAATCACTCCCTATATTTCAAAATAAATGATACTCAGACACTTGAAGCTAGTGCTCCATGTCGCAATCCAAAAAAGGAAACAAAAATGGTTGTAAAAGTGGTTGCAACCAGCAGTTGCAAATATTTTTATATGATGCAAAGGTGGTAGCAACCATCATCAAAAGTTGCAGCCAGTATCCTTACTTAAAGCTTATCTAATAAAAGAAAGGATTACCCATGAAATTTACTAAGAAGAAAGAAAAACTATAGCTAATAAAGGAACATTAAATCAAACCTAAAAAGAAAAGAATATTAGAAGAAAATAATTACAAGTATAAGTGAGCATGTATATACTAACTCTACAACAGAAAGAACAGTTGCCACATGACAACAATTAATATTATTAAACTTATCTCATGATTTTTCTTTTTCTTTCTTCCTAACAGATAGGCATTGACACCACTATTACTTCTCATAAGGTAAATAATTAACTGACTTTTTAGTATGATAATCTTGATTATCAATTAGTAATTCATGTCTAGTTAGGGAGCTTTTACCTTTCATTTTAAGGAAAATTTTCACTGTTTTTAAACTCTCATTTCTTGAGAAGTAAAATATTATTATTATTATTATTATTATTATTATTATAGGTCACCATTTCTTGAAGTTTGATTTGGTTTTCTTGTCAATACTTTTTAATTGTTCTTCTTTATTGAACTCATAAAATCCTTTTCTTTCCCTCATAGCCTTCATCATCTTCTTTCCTCTTCTTGCTTGTCCTCTTCTTGAGGAACTTCATCCTGAACCCTTATTTGGTTCTGATGGTAGATCTTGCTGATCTTTCTCAAAAAAAAAGACCCCTCTGGAAAATCTTAATGTGTTAAAATGCAACTTGTAATGATGTATGCTGTAGATTCAGTAAAACCAAGATCATCTACAAGAACAACTTTATCAATTGTGGGAAAGAAGGTGCAGCTGTCTCAAATTGTCACACACATCCATCTGATATTGAATTCAAAGAATGTTGTGGACAAAGCTTGAGCTCAAGTAGAGATTGGCACTGTTTAAAATTCTTTAACCGGTTAACTAGCTGTTAAAACCTTCAGTTAACTGGTTAACCATTAATTTTAACCAGTTAAATTAACCATTAAACTGTTAATTTTTTTAACCGGTTAACCAGTTACGAACAAAATTACCATTGCCATATTTAGTTAAAGCAAAATAACTATTATAAAATTTTTCATAGATTTAATTTTTTATTTATATACAATAAAAATCATTTCTTTTTAAAAATAAAATGCAGTTATTTGATTACCAACATCGTTAAAAAGCCTTTCAGATGGCACAGATGTTGCAGGTATTTGTCTGCAATAATATTTTTGTTTTATTATTTGGTACATGAAACTTAGGATCTATTTTCTTGATAAATTTTTTAAAACCTTTCCATGTAGCATATTAAAGGTAAAGAGTCTAATACAACCCATTCGGCCACAGCAAGATGTAATTCATTCATTTTGTGTTGTGGATGTTCTTTAGTTTTTTTCAAACACATCTGCTAATTTTGGTTGTTTTAAATCAATTTTCTAAAAAAATTTGAATTATGATAAATAAATACATTTATTAAACAAATAATGTAAAATCTAAACATATTTCAGGATTAACTAAAATTTGATGACAATGCTTTAAATGATAATTTAATGTTGAAGTTGATGTGATGTCAGAATTAGCATATTTTGCACCACATTTGGTTTCTGTTCGAGGATTGATAATAACTTTGCAATAATATTGTTTGTTTTTTCTTCAAATTAATCCCAGACTTTTGATTTCCTTTAACTTTTTTTTGATTTATTTCTTATTATTTGCATTATCACCCACAATATCAATTACATTCCCAGTTTCACTTTCAAAGTTTGCATTTGATTCTTCATTAACATAATTCTCAATAAAATCTAGACAAAATTCATATTGATTATAAAAATAGATAATTATTCAATTGTTTTAATTTTGGATGAATGAATGGATTATATTATATTGCGGTTATTTATTATTTATTTATTAATTATAAAGATAATTAATGTTACGATTATTATTATAATTTTCTACCATTACACAAAATTAACCGGTTAACGGTGCCAATCTCTAAGTTAAGGAATAATAGGCCTGAGTTTGATGTTATAAATTTTTATTTAGGTAACAAATGATTAATTCTATTTCATATTTTACTAAAATAATTTAATAAACAATAAAACCAATAAAACCAATAAAAAAAAAACGAATAAAAAACGAAAAAAAAAAAATTTGGAATAAACGAATTAAACAAATAATACAAATAATTTATTCGAAAAAAATTTGTATTCAATTCAACAACAATAAAGACTTTAAATGTTTTACATTTCATTTCAAATATCCGAGCAAACATTATACAGTCAAACCTCTTGTTTCAACGACTTGTAATTAAGTTCGCATTATATTACAGCAATATTTTCAATTTTCTGTTGCATCTGTACGTTCTTCATTATTATACACGCACGTTCTTATATTTTTTTTTTGTCAAGATGAAAAAGATCTTGGCGTATCAAACACAGGCCACGACTACTAACTAGAGTTAAACCCATGCACAAACGTGCAGAAGCGAAAAATTTAAAAAATCGCAAGTAGTTTATATTAGTTTTTTTTGATTTCGTCGAAACGAGGGTTGACTGTATTAGTATTAATATTAGTATTAGTATATAATTTACATGAATATTAATATTCGGGACTTTTGTATCAATAAAGAAATGACATCACGTCATGAGGGATCAACCACATACGATCGCATATTTTTCATGTTTCCCCAAACGGAGCATCTAGGTTTTACATTTTTAGCATATATATTATATATTCGATTTTTCATACATAACAGTATTATTTTCCTTGTTTAAATTTCATAGTCATTCACAGATAACAATTTGCAAAAATTGAAATGGGTATTTTTCTAGTATATCAAACAAAAATCTAATGTACTCGATTTACAACTACTATAAACCTAAGACACACTATAAACTTAAATCGACTATAATACTACTATAATTCACTAAATATGTCAATATCACATGTATTATGTAATAAATTGCATAAGCGTAATAACATTAGACTCTGATGTGATGTGAAAAAAGTGATAGGTTATTATTATTGCCTTGTTTATACTGGACTCAAATTGAACAACTCTTTGAGACTGAAAGACGATATGATTATCTTAGTATTATCGGCCAAACGAGACCCGAAGCAATGGGCGATAAGAGTTCACATTCCTCTCCAAGAGTTGATCTCTGAAAGGCTTATAATGTGTATTGTTTATCATTCGGGAAGTGGCAAGCTAGTATATTATGATTACTACAAGCCTAAGCTATTCAAATATGGAACTGCAATATGTTTAGATTAGTTGATGTAAATGCCAAACTTGGAAAAAAAGTTTCGCTTCATTAAGCGCAGATATGTAAAAGTTATCCGGCCTGATTATTTGATGGGACAAAACCTGAAACGGGTCCGGGACATGCTAGAATTAAACACAAAATGCTTGGAGGAAATTATTCGAAAGATAAAAATTATTGGCGATAATATTGCGGAAACATCAACAAATCAAATCAATAAAAAGAAAAGAAACGAACAAGATGATGATGAAGATGATGATGGACTATTATAATTACAATATAGGCCAAAAAAGGTTTACAGTAAAGGATATAGAAAAAAAAAAGAATACATCAAAATTGTAGTGACGATGATGTGATACACTGATTATGAAGAAATCAGAAGTAAATCAAGTAAAAACAAAAAAATGATGTTATTTTCGAAATCAAAATGACTCTAATAAACATCATTTTAAACCAGAAGAAGAGTATAAAATATATTATCCATGTTCCCTCGGATTAAATGTGAATTATTATTTTTTTAAAATTGTCTTACCTTTCTTTACTTTCAAAAATTGTATTGAGATGGATGGTCTATTATTATCATAAAAATACACGCAGTAAATTGGACTTGATAATTGGCCAAATGATCTAAAGCTTCACCTTTTAGTATATTTGTAATTTCAGAATTTCTTTGATGGTAAGTCATCATCATCACGTTAGATTGATGCTAAAGATATTAAATAATTAACTACAATGGCTGGAGTAAATGCAAGAAGAATGATTTGTTTAAAGAAATTGTTCCCAAAGCAATTGCGCTCCCGTCTATCAACTTTCTTTCTCGCATATACACCTTGTGTGATTGCTGATAATATATAAAGATAACTTGGCAACATATCACTTTTGCATATTTGAAAATCAAATGTCAAAATGTAAAAGACTAATTCCACAAAAAAATTTTTTTTTGACAATCTTGATAAAGTTTCTAAAATTTTTGTCACGTTTTTAAAAACTTTAATTTTTAACTTGTTACAATGTTTAAATGTTTAACAATAATAACAATGCTATAAATAATGATTTAAAGCCCCATTCAAGAATTATCAAGACAATTCAAGAGAATTTGCTTTCTTTGTAAAATAAATATTAAATTCCAGATTTAAAAATTCCGAGAGCAAATAATTTATAGTTGCACGAACCAATACTTTTTTATTTTCCTTTTCGGATAATATTTTACTTAATATATACCAGATTTTTTTTTTTAATTTTATAGTAACAATTGAAATTTATATCATGATTATTTCCAACCTTGAATAACAACAAAGGTAAAGTAACACCTATTTTATTATATTACATCACGTATGCGTGATAAATAATTGATTACAGTAAATAATATAAATATTATGAACATTATTTTAAATGTGAATTGAATAATTTATCATCGGACGTTATACCTGATAATCGATGATTTATTTAAACTGGGTTAATTTCTTTTTTTTTTTTTTTGAAAATTTCTTTAATTTTTTTTTTAATTCCTATACAACAAAATTATAATTTTTTTTAATAAAAAAGTCTCATTAATAACATTTTGTCATTCGCTTTGCCTCTCTCTCTTTTCTTTTCAAAAAATACAACAACTAAGTTAATATTATAACGGTCTAAATAAGATTAATATTCATTATAATAAAAATGTCTTCACATATAATAAATAACACCAACATAAATTATAATAAGAATAAAATTTGTAATCAAACAGCTACTTCTTTATTGGAGCTTGATTCAAACATTCCTTATAATATATTTATAAGGAATTTAAAATCATTAAAAGCTGGGCAAGTTGTTGTAAATTTTGATATAATACTTGAAAAGAATAGAATAATATTTCACGGCTCACGTGATGATAGTAAAATAAGAACTGTGAGAGGTAAAGTGAGGCTTGAAGTGGCTGGTAAATTAAATGTCAAGGTAATTAAAATATTTATTTATATATTTGATCAATTTAATTAATCATTAATTGATTATAGTTAATTTTGTAAAATCACTTGCTACTATTAGGAAATCATTCTATCACTTGTAGGTGATTATAATATTTCCTTAGATTTAATGAATGACATATCATCATCATTATCACCATCATCACCAACATCATCATTGGAATCATTGGAATTATCATTACCAGAAAAACAAGGAACTGTCTTTTCAAGTTCCATATTATTAGAAAATAAAAGAGTATTATTATCAGGGATTCATGAATTTCATTTTGAATTTCTTTTACCAGGAGATTTATCAGAATCAATGAATTCAGATGCAGTTTTATGTAAATATTTTCTTAAGGCGGAATTAATGACCAGATTTCCAAGCGAATTATCAACAGATAACAACAAATCAGTTGACATTGTTGATTTGTTTATCGAAAGAGCTTTTTTAGAATCTGATGATGACATAACAAATGGATTAAGGCCAACAAGATTCATTGGTGGAAATAATGATTTACTTGATTTTGAATTCATATTGCCAAAAATCATGAAATTAAATTCAAATTCAATTGAATTTATTGGTAGATGGAGTGGCTTTAATAGAGTTGATAAGATTAGTTTTTGTTTTGTCCAAAGTGAATGCTATAACATTGCAAATAATGGATGTATTGTTCATAATGAAAAATCAATTGCTGGACCATTCTGTTTCCAATTACCAAAAAACGAGCCATTGAGACTTCAAAGCAGACCAACAATATTTAAATTACCAATATGTGAATCTTTTGTAAATGATTATGATTTAGTTAATATTAAAATAAGACATCAATTAGATGTTAAGATCCAATTAAATAACTTTAAAAAAGATCAAATTGAATTCAGGTTAGTCAATGATTAATATTTAATAATATTTATATTGATTTTTGTTTTCTCAAATTTTTCCCTTGATTATTCTTAGCATTCCAATCTCAGTCAAGTCAATAATACCTAATCAAGATACTTTGCCATTACCTCACAAAATCGATCTTTCAAATAGTGTTGCCTGTTTACAATTGGGAAATGAAATCTATACAAGTAAACCATCAAAAGAAGCCAATATAATAAACAAACAACCCATTTTTAAATCACCATCAATAATATTTAATAATGTCAATAACAGAGAGATTAATACCAGTCATAATATGAATATTAGTACTAATACTGATAGTAATGTTACACGACCATCAAAGCCTTTACCAAGTATTCGTAAACAATTGTTTCAATTTTTATCAAGAAAAACTAGTATTCAAAGTAAAAAATCATCATCAAAAAATCATTGCCAATCAATATTGAATCAAGAATATTTAATAATGATGATGATGATAATGACATTATTAACAATATTAATAATAACAGTAATAGTAATAGTAATGGCAGTAGCAGTAGCAATATTAATAATAATAAAACAATAAACAATCTACGTAATTCACGCATTAGTACAATTACTGAAGTCTCAAGTGAATTTTCGATTGAAAATGATGATATAATAGAAGAAGAAGAAAATGATGATGAATATATTGAAAATATAAATCATGATATTGAATATGACAATGATGATGCGGACGATATTAAGGCCAACAACACCATAATAACTGCAGCAACAGCAACCACTTATACTAATAATGACTTTAATGTCAAAGAGTTCCATAAACCAGATTTCATCACCTTATCAGCAAATATTATAGCTGAAAATTTTATTAAATTCAACTATTTATTACATAAAAGACATCATCAAAATAACAAAGACAATATTAATAAAACCAATAATTATCAACAGCAATATAAGAATCATCATAAACCTCCACCTAAATCACATCAAAATAAATCACTCAAAAGAAATAGTAGAATCAGTAGAGCTTCATCTACTTCCACTTGTGTACAACCTGACGTCAAAGATTACATTAAACATTCAACTCATTATAAATCCGACAACAACAACAACATCACCATTAATGACAATATCATCTCATGATTGTAAATATCTCATATTTAAAAGAATGTTACTAGAATGAAAAAAAATATTCATTCATTCATTATTTTTTATTTTTTTCATTTTTTGTAAATTAATTCAGAATCAAAAAATTGTTTCACTCATTTACTTAATAATAATTCATTCGTTTAGTTATTTATTGGAGATAGATATAAGGATGCAAGCAAAGGG